TGAGTTGGGCAGGTCATTCCACCAGGAGGGAACATTTAAACATCCGTAAAAGTGATTTTGTGCTTCTTTTGGATGGCACAATAAAGCAACATTCACTTGCAGAACGCAAGCTTCTAGAAGGCATATAAGTCTGAAGTAATGAATTTAGGTAAAGGGGTGCAGAGCCAGTGGTGGTTTTGTAGGCAAACATCATTACCTTGAATTTTATGCGAGCAGCCATTGGTAGCCAGTGCAAATTGATAAACAGAGGTGTGACGTGCATTCTTTTTGGCTCATTAAAAATTAATCTTGCTGCCGCGTTCTGTATTAATTGTAAAGGTTTGATAGAACTGGCTGGGAGACCTGCCAAGAGAGCATTGCAATAGTCCAGCCTGGACAGAACAAGAGCTTGAACAAGGAGTTGTGAAGCATGTTCCAAAAGAAAGGGCCTGATCTTCTTGATGTTAAATAAAGCAAATCTGCAGGACCAGACAGTTTTAGCAATGTGGTCTGAGAAATTCAGCTTATCATCAATCACAACTCCGAGGTTTCGGGCTGTTTTTGAAGGAGTGATGGTTGATGTGCCTAACTGGATGGTATATGATGATATAATGATGATATAATTTTATTACTGAAGGAGTAGATCACCCAAAAATGAAAAAAATATTCAATGTCTTCTGAAGCCATAAGATAACTTGTGTGAACAACAGTCTGAAATGTAGGTTGTTATAAACTGAAGATTTTAGCATTCTCTGTATCTCTTGAATCTCATTTGGACATGCGTTACTTATTTTATTTATGGTCATTTGGGGTGTATATGGGACAGTGCAGTGGAGAGGACCAGAAAACAAGAGGGATAATGCAAGTGGAAACTGGTAGCATGTGGTATAAACATGATGTAAATAAGAGATTCATTGTGCAGTATAGACAACATTGCTTTTTAAAGGTTGTTTTGGCAAGAGTGCAGTGCTAAGTGAACTCACACTGACATGACTGACAGCTTCAATGATTATAAAGGGAGCATTCTGTTTATAACTCTTTGATAATTAATGTAAAAGTTGTATTTCTCATACTAGCTACACAAAGATTTTTTGTATTTAAATGCGAGACTGAATCCGAAAATGTGATGATTCACAGCAATAACCAATGGCAATGGACAGGACAAACTATTCTGATACTGTGTCTGATATTATATGTCTGTGCAAGTATTGGAGTGTAAATGCAAACTAATATTAGGTGTCTTTAAATACTATGTAGTTAATAATAAAGCAATGAATTGTTAGGTAAGTGTACCTATTTTGTTCATGTTGAATTTCAAAACACTTTTGCTGCTATTGAGGTGGGATACGGGTGAGGTTTGGGACATGTTTGGTGGTATGGTTAGGTTTAAGGGGTAGAAGTAAGCTCAACAGTGTAATTATAGGTGTACGTACAGAAATTAATTATAGATGTAATTACAAGATGTTATTTTCAAATTTAAGTACAATGTAAAAACGTGTATTTACACAATAAGTGCATTGTATCAAATGTTACATTTAAATGTAAGTACATTTTGTTTTATGAGAGCAATGTTTTACATGTTTTTTTTTGAGAGCAAATGCAAAAATATAGATACAGTATATGTTGAATATTGTCCAAATTTGGAGAAATACGGAGCTATACATTTGTGGCCTTAATGAAGCAGAATAATGAAGGCAGGTTGTCCCCAAACTCGTAAGACAAATAATTTCAAGTGATGGTTGTGTGTTATATAATATAAGATTACCTTTAAGGTAGTAGGGCTTCTTTAGACCATCGTGGTGCAGGCGCGCTTTCCGCTCCTCTGCATAGCTGTGCCGCAAACCATGCTCATGCAAATGCAGTCTGTCTCTCCTGACTGCTTCCGAAGCCATTTTTTCCCGCAAAGCTTTGGTCCTCTCTGTTTCCAGCGCTATGGCCTTCTCCAGCAGTGACAGGTTGCCTTTGGTCATGTCGAAAACATCCTCTGAGCGGTCCGACGTGACGGAGGTGGTGTCTTCATCACAGTCCTGGAAGCCTTTGTGCTCTGCGGCGCAGCTGGAGAAAGTCTTGGAGCGTGGGCTGAGCTGCTCCTCAAGCTTCATCAAGTTGACCATGTCAGAGTAATTCCGCTCGAGGACATCAGGACTCTGATGCTGATGCTGCTGTTGGGCTTCTTGATAAAGCTGATGAGCCTCCTGGTAGGGATGCATATAATTAACTGATAAACCATTAACCGACAGTAAGATTTTTGAACGATTACTACTACTCTATCTGTAAACAGTTAAAAAGTAACTATAGGCCACTTAAACACTGCAGCTAAATTTGGTTGTCAATTCAATTTTTAGTGCTGTAATCAAGTGGCAATAGAATTCTACAACCGAATTAGTGGTGCATTCCATTTGAACTCGAAAGTCAGAAACTCCGAAACTCAGAGTTCCCAGTGGAAACAGTGAAAACTGGAACATCTTCTCAAGTCAGAAACTCAGAGGAACTGCAAAAACCCTGACCTCAGAATCCAATATGACGGCTCAGCACATCAACATGAGTGAAACACAAGTATTATATTGTTTATTAGCACTTCTGTTTGTCTCAATAAACCCAACATAGTACTATCCAACCACTATTTGTGATAACATGATATTTCAATACGTCTGTGCAAAATACTGCTTTTTATGTGTTCGCAAAACAACTTGTATTGCTATTAATTGGACTCGTCCATCTTGTGTACTTGTGTATAGGAATGCAGTCAACTCTTGTGTGACGTCATTCCTAACTCCGAATTCCGAGGTAAATGGAAAGCAGTATAACTCCTGAAAATTAAGGTAGTGGCATACGCACTTACAAAAATTCCACACAATTTGTACAGATCCAAACTGACTAACTAGTCAATACTAGATGTATTTAAACATGCATCAGAGATGTGTCTCTGTTCTGCACATAGCAAACAAAATAACAGAGAAAGAGGTATGAGCCTTGACTCATTAGTGTTGCCAGATCTTCTTACAAAATAAGAACAGACCCATAATAAACCTAAATAAATGTACATGCTTTATATTGGAAATAAGAGCAGAAAAGTGCAATCCACACCTGCCCAGTTTAATAAATCCATAGACTAGATCGCTTTATGAGCCATGCCCAAATACACTTATAATAAGTGTACATGGCAACACTGAATGAAAGTACTCTGCGGTTTAATAGCAATTTTAGTCATCACAATTTTGAGAGTGAGCTCTGTTCTGTACACACAAGAAATTATAATTTAGGGTACTCACTCCTGTATTTAAATGTGGCTGTCACTCCTGAAACTTTACAGTATGTATATGGCCTTTATTTAAATTTAAACAGGACTGCAATTTACAGGACTGACAACCACATTCACTATTTAAGAAGTACAATCTTTACTCATTTGCACATTTTGGTCTGTCTCTTTCCACTGTGTTGCCAGATGCTGCAAGGAAAAACACAAACAAAAACAAGCCTAAAATAAACCCTAAAAATTTTAAATGCATGACATAGAATGAAAATATCACAAGCTGCAACTGCCCACATTAAAAACTCCATACAGTGGCTCACTTTAAGAGAAGAGTACGAACAGCAAGCCCAAAGACACTCATAGTAAGTGAACATGGCAACATTACAAGAGTGAACATAAACAAAACACAACACGCTCTGTCAATGGTGGTTTCGTTAAAATTGATGGACGTAACAATTCTTTGGTTGCTAATATTATTCTGGTAAAAAAGCAGATACTAAACAGCAATCAGACGCCTAAACATTTCTCTGGTTACCAGTGTGACAATCATCATAGTTTCGCAGTCATGGAAAGATAATTTAGGGGATTCACTCCTAGGCATTATTCCAATGCACATAGCACACTTGGTATGGCACAAATACATAGCACATAGCACAAATATACATTTCAATATTTTTCCTCGCAGTTATATAATTGGGTAATTATACTACATATATATATATTTTGGCATCAGGGAGGCGCTGTTATACCTGGCATTGAAACTGGTATCGTGCTTTTGAATGCATGATCGCTTTTAGATTCACTTTCACTTTTCGAGATTCGCGATCGCACGTACACTGTTTATACTATGGAGCGGCACTACTTACCAGACATTTTACAAGATTATATGTTTTAGTGGTACTGAGGATCTGGCAAATCATTCGCCATCGCCCTCAGTCATCTCTCCTTACTCTGTACAAGTGAAATTGTATGTACTATAATGTAACAGGCAACCATTACACCATGTCTACACCGGACGCGACAGTTGTCGTGTCGCGCCGCGCCACATCAGCTAAAGTCTGTCTACACTGGACACGACAAAGCGAACGCTGAAAATCATTTGACATTTGTGTCAGCACGTCATAAACAGAACGCGGCAGCAGTTTACTGTCGGGGATTTGTCGTGTCACACCGCGCCGCATCCAGTGTAGACAGCATCACTGATTATAATGAGTTCTATAGACTGATCTATATACAGGTGCATCTCAATAAATTAGAATGTCGTGGAAAAGTTCATTTATTTCAGTAATTCAACAGCAACGGTGTAGACACAGTGTTAGGAATCTTGTTTTCCCTTATAAGGATTCACGCTTTGGTGCTTCAGCGCTGCAGTTGCGTGATGACGTGACCATGTGTGCATCCTCATTTTCTGTTAATGATACTATTTGCACAAGTAAAAATAAACTATTTAATATGAAGAAAAAAAAACATTTAATGGTATTTATCATGGGTCACAGAAAATCGTTCATTCTCTAATTTAATTCTGATTTAACGTTCTTGTCAGTTAATTGGCAGTTCCCAACTAACAAAAAATGCTCTGAGAATGTTTTGATGACGTTTGCATTTAGTTCTCTGAACATTTTTGTTGTTGTTGTTGTAAACGTTTAAAAAACAGTTTAATATTAACATTTTGCAAACATTATGGGAACATTACTTTTGAATGTTCTCTGAGCATGGTAAAGTACTTTGTAGTTAGAACATCTAAATAAAAACGTTTCAGAAAAAAAATGTCGCTTGAATGATACATAAAGAACATTGTTGGAACTTTATGAAAGACCAGATAACTTTGAATGAACGTTCTATTAATGTTATTGACAGAACGTATGTTCATAACTTTGTGAGAACCTTGCCATAACATTCACCAAAGCTCAAACAACATTCCTTTTTAGCTGGGTTAACGTGCATTGGCTATAGGTCAAGAAAAGAAAAAAACTCAAAACAAATCCCTACCTGCTGGTTATTGTGGAACCGCTCGGTTGGCTTGGTCTCACTTAGCTTGCGTGCCAAGTCAAAGCACTGGTTGCGAAGACACTCCAAACTACTCAGACAAACTTCCTCGTCGCTCTTCTCTGCCATCTGGCCATTACTGGAGGGTTTACCACAGTTACCACTGAGTCCATTACCTGTGGATCCATTTCCGTTGATGTATCCACAGTCTGTGTTTTCGCTCCCATCGTCCTGAAAAGGCTTTTCGTGGAGGTTTTCTGAGAGCGTGACTCCATGACCCTGTGCCAGGAGCTTTAGAGAGTCCACAGTCTCCCTTACCACATCACTGTTGATGTCTAGACTCAGCTCACCTTTCCTTGAGCCCTCCTCATTCTCATCTTCTTCATCCTCTTCATCTTCTTCTTCCTCCTCCTCTTCTTCTGCGCTGTTTGAGGAGTTGCTGTTCATCTCGGACTCCGTCATGGCCAGGTAAGCGGCGTCCTCTGCAATCTTGCCCAGGTTAAGCAGAGATTTGGCCACCAGTTCATCGTAGTTGTCATATTCATCATTGTTGTTCTTGTCCTTCTCCATGGAGGGGCTTGTTCTGCTGGGACTGCAATTAATATGGTCACTCTCTGTGAACGACAAACACATTTTGCAGCTAAATAGATACATCTTGGTTCAATTGCATTGTCCAAAACAAAGTTTCATTCCACACCCAACCACTTGTTTGACTCTGAACCACCTTTGCATCATGGCCATAACCACTTCAAGGCTCCAATATACTAATTTCCCATTGTTTCTACTATAAAGCGGGTGTCCAGTGAGTTCATGTGTTTATGAACATCTGACCTCAACAAACTGAACAGAGGAAATTAATCAGAGAAGATTTCCATGTTAAAGAGGGCGGAGCCCCAGAGCCACACCTACCTTTTGCATCATCACAACAGACCAATGGGGTTCAAAGGTGTTGACCAGCAAGGAGCAAACATTTCCAAACATTTTGCTTTGGCAAGATGCTTTTAACTCCTAAAGCGAGCTCCAAACAAACTTCGTTTTGGCCTGATTTTATTAAAAATAACATCACACCTGTTCACACCACACATTCTTTGATTTCATTTAAAGTATATCTTTAGACATTAGACATTATTTCCCTAAATAATTAGAAATGGCCAATTGGCCCTCACAATATTTTATATTCTTGATGCTGCTCTGTTTGTTGTTAGGATGGCAAAAAGTTAGATTTTTTGGTTGTTCACTTGTCAATGTCAAACTATTTGAGATGGCCAATCAAATAAAGGTGGGTTTACTGTTCATAGAAGTCAGTGCAATGCTTCAGTTTTAACAGTAACAGAGTAAAAGTAGTATGACAAAAGTAGCTAAACAATTAATATTTGACAACTGTTTAACTATAGAAATGTTAAACTGTAATATAGGGATGCAAACTATTTTGACATTTGTTTGTCAAATATAGGCTAAATCATTTACTCAATGAATATAATTTATGACAGAATGTGACAAGACAACAAAAATTTTGCCATTTTGTGTTTTTGACATATTAGACATTCAAATAAGAGTGTCTGCAGTTATTATTTGCAAATAGTTCAAACCGATTATTTTACAAAAAATAAAAATCTCATTCTTGTTCTTTCACTGCTCTTCCTTTTCTGTATTCCCTTAAATCCATTTAAATCCATTATTTTATTACTGTAGTGAGGTAAATTTGTTCAATTCCTTTCTTTCTAAAGTTTTTGCAGATTCAGTTTTATTCTCAAAATTTAACATTGAGCAAACAGTGTGGTACTTGAGTCCTTCTGCCACGGATGCACAGCAAGATTTGAGAAAAGGCACTCTAATTGGATCTGATTGCTGTGATGCAATTTCTAAACCAAGTCCCCATGACCATAACCATAACCTAGATGTCATTTTCAAGTGTACTTGGTGGTTCCTGGATTCAAATCCGAGATTGTAAAAACAGCTTTAATGCTAACAAAACAAACATTTAATGGACTTGTTTTGCAGCAAAAGATCTAGTGTGAAACCCAATCATTCTTGGATGCTCTGAAGCATAGACTGTCCATGCAGTGACAGGACTTGAGCAAGAACCACACAGAAAGAAGTCTCAAATAATCAACCCTTCGCAAAGACCCGCCCCTCTTAGTTACTGTTGCTATGTCCGACAAGCCATGCCACTCTCACGCCACACATCATTTTCTCACACAGTGAAAAATACATCGCGGAGCAAAGAGGACACTGACAACATGCCGACAGACAAGACAGAGCAGGTTACTTCTGGTAAGAAACAAAGTCTCAGGTTTCAAATTTTGTCATTTTTTAGGAAATTCAAACAATAAATACCATTTTGTGGCTATTGAATGTGCCGTGACAGATCACTGTAGCGTCTCAGTTCAAGCGGCACGTGAACCAATCATTTCTTTCTCTTTTTCTAGTTATAGCACAAAATAAACATGAATGAACATCATAAAGGAATCGTTCAACAGCGGAAAGACGTCAATACACACCATTTTTCAAGTTTCAATTTTTCCTTTCTCTTTGGAGTGTTACAAGCTCTTGGTGCATAAAGAAGATCTGTAAAGTTGCAAAGACTAAAGTCTCAAATCCAAAGAGATATTCTTTATAAATTTAAGAGTCAACCACGCCCCCCTAAAACGGCTCATTCTAACGAAGATTTGCATAACGCCACCCAAATGTTCACGCAAAGAAAGAAGGCGTAACTTTTTTTCTCGCTGTATTCAAGGGGTCGATAATAAAGAAAGAGCTGCATAGAACTTAATATAGAGACATGCTAGCTAAAAAAAAATATATATATATTAAATATTTTGTTGACAGAGCAAAAACTTATGAATATCAGCATGGCTGTGATTATCTGTGCCATTATGTCCGATCACAGCCATGCTGATTTTCCTAACAACGAAATCGAATTATTTTCACAATATTTAAGTGTGCTAATGTCATTAGCTTAGTTTCATGCTAGCAATAGAATGTTAGTCAAGTGCAAACTGCACAATGCTTGACTTGCTGTCAGTGAAGCTGTGCCTGTGAAGAGCAAAATCAGTTACTTATAAGGTTCTAATTTAATTAACGCTGTCTACAACTGTTCATGCAGTCAGCTCACTAGGTTTTGAGACAAAGCCAATATCTTAGGTAAGAAAACACAGCACAGAAAACAGGGTTAATGCCAATGCATGTGGGAGTTTGATTGTTAATTAGACTAGAAGGCTCTGTCAGGTCTGACTGGAGAGCGCTGCCCTGCCTTTTTTAGCAAGTAAATTGGTCTTTTAGTTTAATTTAGCTTACACTTCATTTAAATCTTTACTGATTTTCAAAAAGTAAACGCAATAACTTTGATATTGTTAGTAATATTTCCAGATGAACACTTACTGGACTGAAGCAGCTTCACTTTACTTGATTATCCAGACATAATTTTGTAGAAAAATCAGTGCGTCTCAAATCTGATCATCAGGCTTTTGCGGAACGTCTGTTTGTTCATCATCATCATCATCATCATCATCACAATCATCATTGTATTGCATTGCATTATATATTTTGATCATTTATTGGAGATACAGAGAGATGACATATTTATACTACACGTCAAAAGTTTTTGAACAGTAAGATTTTTATATTTTTTAAATAATTATTTTCTGCTCACCAAGCCTGCATTTATTTGATCAGAAATACAGCAAAAGCAGTAATATTGTGAAATATATTTACTTTTTAAAATAACTGCTTTGTATTTGAATATTTTGAAATGTAATTTATTCCTGCGATTTCAAAGCTGATTTTTCAGCATCATTACTCCAGTCTTCAGTGTCACATGATCAGAAATCATTCTAATATTCTGATTTGCTGCTAAAAAAAACCGTTATAATAAATAATAATAATAATTATTATTATTAATATTTAAAACAGTTGAGTATTATTTTTTTTCAGGATTCTTTGATGAATAGAAAGATCCAAAGATCAGTATTTATCTGAAATAAAAAGCTTTTGTAACATTATACACTATAACATTCAAAAGCTTGGAGTCAATATAATTTTTTTTTGGAAAGAAATAATATAAATTATTACTTTTATTTAGCAAGGATGCTTTAAATGGATCAAAAGTGATGATAAAGACATTTATAATGTTACAAAAGATTTCTATTTCAGATAAATGCTGTTCCCTTTCAGTCGGTCACTCTCGACGTCACGTCGTATGACCGACGAATTGGGATCTCGCTTAGAGAGACCAATCCACTTTGAGTGTAAACTAAACAAGCCAATGCACATTGGCATGCAATTATTGCATCCAGCTGCAACTGAGCACAGCGTGAGTATAAGTAGGCAGCAGGTGCAGCGCATATTCAGCATTTCACTTCGGAGCCGAGCGATCACATCATAAACATCATAACATCACAACATACTCTACTGAGAGAAGAAGACTGAACAAGTTCAGCGCGCTCTTTGAGAACTCTTCGTGTTGGCGGTATGGCGCTTCAGCGGTGGTGATTTCGTGTGTCGAGTGGATTGCACACATCAGGCTGCACTAACCCCTGTTTGTGTTGCAGGCAGCCATCTCCCCTGTGCGTTCAGCACGCTAAATGAGCTTTTCCCTAAAAGAGCATTCACGGATGCGTCTTTTTAAAGACGACGTTGCATCTGGCAAACTCGACGTTATGTCTTTGTAAAGATGATGTTGGTCTTGCTATAGACAATGTATCACCCGGGCATTTCTGGATGCGGTCGTTACCTGATGCTGGGTGATGGTCATGATTGCTGCCTCACATGCCTGGGCATTTAGCACGCTGAGGTGTCGTTTGTGGATGAGTCATGATCTCATTGCGGGAAGATGATCATCTCGGAGTCACGGGCCAAGCTCCGTTACCTCAAAGGGGCGGAGCTCTGTTGCCTCTGCCTCGATCTAGTTCTCGTAATGGCGGCAGTCAGGCGGGGACTACTTCAGGCAGTAACAAGGGCGGTCTGAGGGTAACAGTGATGGCAAACCCTCCAGGGAACCAACCCTCGGGGGACCATTGTTCCTCTTGCACTGCTCAACCAGTTGAGCTACCAATGGAACGTGCTGGGCCCTCTACAAGGAGAGTACAAGCAGTATCCTTTGCCACTCCTCCCGACGACCGGATGTCGATTGCTGCATCTGAGGGTGAGCCGGAGCTTTCTAGAGAGGAAGATTCGGCTGCGCTGCTCTCCTCCGGGACTGTAGCAATGCCTGAATCGGATCCAGAAATAATGGCTATGCTTTCCCGGGCCGCCGTAGGGGTAGGGCTCGAGTGGAGACCTCCACCGTGTTCCGAGCCCTCAAGGTTGGACGATTGGTTCTTTGGGGTGGTCCGCGCTGGTTCCCAGTGCCATTCTTCCCAGAGGTGCATGCGGGGCTTACCAGGTTGTGAATGGCACCTTTTTCTGCCGGAAACCGATCTGCTAACTCCTCCTCCCTCACCATTCTCGACGGTGGTGCAGCTAGGGGGTATACGGGGCCCCCCTGGTGGAGCAGTCGGTTGCGATGCAGTTGTGTCCTAACGCTGCCTCCACCCGGCAGGGCAAAACGTGCCTCCCCTCCCGGGTCTGTAGGTACTCGTCTGGTCTGTCCAGCGATGCTAATAGGGCCTGTGGGGAAGCTGCCTCCGCCTTACACCCTACGGCGTTACTGCAGGTTCTTCAGGGTAAAGCACTGAGGGACCTGCATGAGGATGGTCACGATCTGTAAGTTCTAAAAGAGCTCAGAACCGCAACTGATCTCGCGCTCCGAGCTCAATCTGGAAGTTCACCGCGAGTTCTCTGGGTCGTGCGATGTCCACACTTGTGGTCTAGGAGCGTCACCTCTGGTTGTGTATGAACAAAGTTCGGTTCCTCAAGGTGCCTGTGTCCCAGACCAGCCTTTTCGGCGACACAGTCGAGAACATGGCCCAGCAGTTCTCGTCTGGACAGGAGCAGACTGAGGCGATCTGACGTTCTGCTGCCTCCACCCATCCGCAGCGACGCAGCTTGCTCATCGCCAAGGGTGGCCCCCTGCATCCACCCCCGCTCCCGTGCCACATCCGCAGCAGCCTCAAGTAAGCGGCGCCGTGGAGCTGGGTCCCAAGAGGGCATGGAGATTTGCAGACAGACCAACACCGAACCACACTAACCCTCCTCTCTCGCCAGCAGGCAGCAGTGGGCGGTTTGCAGACAGTCGAGCTGAAGTTTCTATCAATGAAAACTCTGCTCCTGCTTGCATTGGCCTCCTTCAAGAGGGTAGGGGACCTGCACGCATTTTCCCACACATACTGCCAGGTAATCCTGAGGCCTCGGCCCAGCTATGTGCCCAAGGTTCCCACTACTCCCTTCAAGGATCAGGTGGTGAGCCTGCAAGCGCTGCCCCTGGAGGAGGCAGACCCAACCCTAGCTTTTGTAGGAATGGTCATGATATTTAAGTAACCTTGGTATGGATGAAAATGTTTTATTTTGAACATTGTGTGTTGTACGACACCTTATAGAAGTTATTAAACCCTGCAAAGACATTTCTCCACGGAAGTGGAGCCCAACTTGTGACGTACATGATAAAGGAACCACACAGGGCGTGGCTAAGCCCAGCAGCCACTGTCTGATTGGAACAGCGACCTGTGGGATGGACTTACGCCGCGGATCAAAACCCCACTGCAACACAGATTCGGTGCTTGCTTTTACCCGATCAAGACGTCTGGCTTTCCTTTTGGTGAGCGCGACAAAGCGCACCACGCCGCACCACCGCAATAGCGAGAGCATCTAAGAACTCAAACACTTCAGTGAAACTTCACGATCTTCAAAGAACTTAAAGTCTTTCAAACTTCCGGCGCCAGATCAACAGCCAATCAGCAACGGAATCCCCTCCAGCACGCGGCAGAACCACCTCAGCGTTCAGCTGTCAACTAAGCAAAACGCAAGTACAAACAAAACTCCTATCTGCTGACATCGGTGTTGAACTGGTGAATTGAGTTAAGCAGTAAAGATAAGAAAACGAGTTAGGACATTGAAAACTTCATGCAACTCCGTTGACTCGTTTCCTTGAATCTTTGTGTGTATGTTATAGCATTTCTCCATTGACTGTTGGCCTATGACTGTGAGAAAGACCTTCCTCTTGGGCGAGGGCTCCAGGGTATGACTCTCCAGGGGTTTTCTCTTCTTGGCGACAGGACAGCCATACACGCTGGACATGGAGAGATAAGAAAAGGGCAATTAACAAGCTGGCTTGCAATTTGCTGGGCTTTAGCACAGTCCATTGTGCTCAAGACCAGGCTACAGCATTTACGCCGCACAGGCTGAAGGAGTTTTGAATTGGGACAAATACAGCAGGCTGTATGCCAAATCATTTATGGGTTACACTAGTGGAACAATCAATAGACCTTAGTCAGTGTAGACGCCATTTTTAATTAGCAGTGAATGACAACAAGACAATATGGCATATTATTCTCATTTACAAGTTAATAATTTGATTTTGGGGCTCTCCTAGAACACATTTACATGACTTAAAGTTCAATAAATACATTATTTTCCGTCATGCTGCGGCACCTTTTTTCACCCTCTGCTCTGTTTTAGTTCCTGTTTCTTTAAATCCCACCTTTCCAAAAAGCCCAGTCTGCTCTGATTGGTCAGCTGGCACAGTCTGTTGGTCAAGAGGTGATTGGTCAAGAGCGTGTGTTGGAAATGTAAAGCCCCTTAAAATAATAAGTTTCAGCTTAGAGGCTTAATGAGCAGCTGTAATCATTTTAATCTACAGGATATATAGTCAGTATTGGAAGTTAATAAAATGGTTTTTGGCCTTACAGCGAAAATAAATAAATAAAGTAAGGCAGGACTACAAACAATGTATTTCAGGGAAGTGTTTTCTGTTGAAGAGATGAACTCCCTGTACGCCGACTTTATGCTTTGTAACTTGTCAGATTATTTATAAGCACAAACAGCTATATTACACACTAAAGGCAGTAGTGTGTTTAGGCACCACACAAACCACACAATAGTGTGTCTACTGAGGGGGACCGCGATGGCGGTAGGCAGTAAGAGTCTCCACCACTTTACACAACAGCACAACCTGCTAAACAGATTATATGACTGACCATCTGCTTAAGTTTTTATTCATTAATTTTTTATTATTATTTTTAAATTAAATATTACATTTACAGTTTATATACTGACTATCCATAATCAAATAACCTCAATTATTATAACATGCATAACATTTTGTGTTTCAAAAAGTCTAGAGTTTTGTCATAGTTATGTTATGTTATTTGAATAAATCTATCTAATAGGTAGAAATTCACTTCATGATAAATAATGTGTATGTGTAAATACAGTAGAATAATACTGAATAATAATTCCAATACGATATACCTATACAATAGTTTGTGTTGAATTCCTGTCCATTAAATCACAAATGCCCTGGTAACTTTAATAGTCAAGTACTCTCTCTCTCTCTCTCTCTCTCTCTCTCTCTCTCTCTCTCTCTCTCACACAGACACACAAACACACACACACACATACACACAACACCTTGCAGCTGTGATATTAAGAGGTGATTAATTGCATTTTATACCTTCAGCAAATATATATTTTATAGATCCTCCCAGCAGCAGGAGCAGGTGTATTGATCCAGTGTTCAGACCAGCAGACATGAGTCCTTTTCATTTGCAGGGAGAATGAGTAACAACCAATTTCCTTTAAAGGTGTAATTTTCCCAAAAATGAAAATCCCGTCATCACTTATTCACCCTCATGTTGTTCCAAACCTGTATGTGTTTCTTTCTTCTGCTGAACACAAAAGAAGATATTTTGAAGAATGTTGGAACTCATACAAACTCATACAGGTTTGGAAAAACTTGAGGGTGAGTAAATGATGGCAGAATGTAAATTTTTCAGGCCGTCTGACCATTTTTCTATCTATATATATATCTATCTATCCATCCATCCATCATCTATCAATCATCTTTCTATCCATCCATCCAGAGGGAGTGAATAAGCTGTGCTCTCTTCCACCCTTAATACCACGACTGATGTGACCCTGACCCTTGAGCAAGGCACTGTACTCCCAACTGCTCCCCGGGCACTGCAGCAATATGGCTGCCCACTGCTCCGGGTGTGTGTTCACGGTGTGTGTGTGCACTTAGATGGGTTAAATGCAGAGCACAAATTCCGAGTATGGGTCACCATACTTGGCCACACGTCACTTCACTTCCATCCATCCATCCATCAGTCATCTTTCTATCCATCCATCCCTCTATCCATCAGTCATCTTTCTATCCATCGGTCTACATATCTATGTATCTATCAGTTCATCCATCCATCTATTATTTTTCCATTTATCAATCATCTTTCAATCCATCCATCCATCATCAGTCATATTTTTTATTCATCCATCCATCATTTGTCCATCCATCTATCATCTTTCCATCCATCCATCATCTATCCATCAATAAATCAATCAATCATCTTTCAATCCATCCATCCGTCATCAGTCATATTTCTATTCATGAATCCATCATCTATCCATCCATCCATCCATCATCTTTCCATTCATCCATCCATCCATCTATCATCTTTCCATTTATCCATTTGTTCATCCATCCATCAATCAGTCATCTTTCAATTCATCTATCCATCCATCAATCATCATCATTGTTATTTGTTTGTATGTTTACATTATTTTTGTTTGTATATTGATATTGTGATATTATTGATATATTGTTTAGTTTGTTTGATAGTGGATTGTGTGTATGAGTGAGCTGGTATTGAGATGTTGGTTATGTGTATAGTATAACTTTAAGGCGGATGTTTTGTTTTTAGGAATTAGTGTGAATGGCACATGTATTTTAGAGTATGCAAGTATTATGTATTGATTAAATTTTTATATTTTTAGGGTGACAATTTTACCATCAGTCCAGGGACTGCAGATGCAAAATAGCCTTCTGGCTAATTCTGGCACATTGTGCATTTATGTATTGTTGATGTGCATTGTCCCTGTTAAATAAACCTGAAATAAATAAATAAATAAATAAATCATCAGTCGTCTTTCTATTCATCCATCCATCATCTATCCATCCATTCATCATCTTTCTATCATCCATCCACCCAATCATCCATCCATCCAATTATCTTTCTATCCATCCATCCATCCATCCATCTATTCATCCATCCATCAGTCATCTTTCTACCTCTCCATCCATCAATCATCGTTCCACCCATCCATCCATCTATCCATCAATCCATCCATCACCTTTCTATTTATCCATCTATATGTCCACAGATCTATGTATCTATAAGTCCATCCATCCAAAAGCATCACCAATTCCACCACATGTATCTTCTCTCCCTACAAAAGAAAGACGCACATTTTACCCAGCCTTCTCACACTGACAAGCAGCACAGTTCAGGTGCAAATTAACCAGTGTCCATCTGTCAGCCGTCTAGCTGATTGGCAGGTTCCATCTCCCTAGAATGTAAGTTTATTGGGCTGACCCTTCCAACAGGTCACTATTTCATTTGGGAGACCACGACCGGCAACTCATTCCAGGGCTGACATCACGCAAGGCACCCCGGCTCTCCATGGATGACTCTGCCGTGCCGTCATCAATAGTGCTTGTGACCAAACATCGCAAAAGCACATTAAAATGCCACTCATCCTGTCCGATGGCCTTCCAAATAAATCAGGAGCCATTCCCCACAGGCCTGGTGTGAGCGGTCAGGCAGACAGCAAGAGGGAAAGGTGGAGACAGAGTGTGCTAGTGGTACGACGGGTTATAACCTGTCTGTCTTATCACATTCATGTCAGTTATATAAGGGGGAATTTAGTCCTTGCTGCACATGCGGCCTTCAAAGATGCATTGAACAGTCTGAGGACTAAACTGACATAGTTATAATGAATGTTGCATCATGGTATTCATGATTTCTAACCAATGCAGTCAATGTGGGATGACATGTGAGAAGGTCAGAATCCTGTTTTATTTCTTATTACACGGCTGTCAGGAATACTTGACTCAATTCAATCCCATCATTCTGTGCTCAAATATGTAAGGCATAATGTACAGTCAGCTGGTTACTATTGCAAAACAAACTCTGCTATGTTGCATCGACATCCTTAACTTTCTTTCTCTTACACTCTCTCTCTCTCTCTCTCTCTCTCTCTCTCTCTCTCTCTCTCACACACAGACACACAAACACACAAACACACACACACACATACACACAACACCTTGCAGCTGTGATATTAAGAGGTGATTAATTGCATTTTATACCTTCAGCAAATATATATTTTATAGATCCTCCCAGCAGCAGGAGCAGGTGTATTGATCCAGTGTTCAGACCAGCAGACATGAGTCCTTTTCATTTGCAGGGAGAATGAGTAACAACCAATTTCCTTTAAAGGTGTAATTTTCCCAAAAATGAAAATCCCGTCATCACTTATTCACCCTCATGTTGTTCCAAACCTGTATGTGTTTCTTTCTTCTGCTGAACACAAAAGAAGATATTTTGAAGAATGTTGGAACTCATACAAACTCATACAGGTTTGGAAAAACTTGAGGGTGAGTAAATGATGGCAGAATGTAAATTTTTCAGGCCGTCTGACCATTTTTCTATCTATATATATATATATCTATCCATCCATCCATCATCTATCAATCATCTTTCTATCCATCCATCCAGAGGGAGTGAATAAGCTGTGCTCTCTTCCACCCTTAATACCCCAACTGCTCCCCGGGCACTGCAGCAATATGGCTGCCCACTGCTCCGGGTGTGTGTTCACGGTGTGTGTGTGCACTTAGATGGGTTAAATGCAGAGCACAAATTCCGAGTATGGGTCACCATACTTGGCCACACGTCACTTCACTTCCATCCATCCATCCATCAGTCATCTTTCTATCCATCCATCCCTCTATCCATCAGTCATCTTTCTATCCATCGGTCTACATATCTATGTATCTATCAGTTCATCCATCCATCTATTATTTTTCCATTTATCAATCATCTTTCAATCCATCCATCCATCATCAGTCATATTTTTTATTCATCCATCCATCATTTGTCCATCCATCTATCATCTTTCCATCCATCCATCATCTATCCATCAATAAATCAATCAATCATCTTTCAATCCATCCATCCGTCATCAGTCATATTTCTATTCATGAATCCATCATCTATCCATCCATCCATCCAT